TATCCTATCAGGATCAGACAATTGGTCACATGTAGTATGGAGGTCATTTGCATGGAAGTAAGGATCCTGTTAAATGAGAATAAACATATTTTCACCTGCTTTTATATGTACATTTATTATCTGTTAAGTTAATCATTTTCTCTTTATTATGTTCTTAATTTGATCCAACAGTGTTTCCAAATAAGAATATTGCAAAGAGTTCTCAAGAACTACTCACATAATTATTTAAATTAGTATTAAATGACATTTTAAAAGTTATCATGGGGCTGGAGAGATGGCTCAGTGGTTAAGACCACTGACTGCTCTTGCAGAGGACCCTGGATCAATTCCCAGCACCCACATGGCTTCTATGAATTGTCCTTAACTCCAGTTATAGGTGAATCCGAAGCCCTCTTCTGACCTCTGCGGCACTGCACCAAATGGGTACACTCACATACATGCAGGCAATACACTGATGCACATAAAATAAAAATAATAAATAAAATAATTTTAAAAGTAAAAAAAAGTTATCATAACCAGTTCAAATAGTGTTTTAATGCTATATCTGTGATTTTAGAGCAAACCATTTTAATGTTTTATTGCAAACATTTTCAGAAAGTGTATTCCTGTGTTTTGTCATTTTAGACAATCTATAGATGTTAAAGCATTGTTTCAAATGTCTTAGCTACTATGGACCTGAAAATGGCTGTATAAGCATATACAAAGGGGTAATACACATTAATATTTACTCTGTACTCACTTCAAACTACACAATATGTAGCCAGTGTACCCAGTACAGTTTCACATTTCCTCGAAGTTGATTTTAGATTGAGAGAATGGCCAATATGTCATAAGATCAGGAGAAGTATAATTGTAACTTACACCTGGAAACTTCCAATTTCTCTAGCACTCTTGCAACTACAGAGTCAAAAGTGTGTGTTTGTGATAGGTTTCTTTCAACTAACATGATGTTTTAAAAGTTCCTTCATGTTGAAGCATCTATCAGTGCTTCCTTCATAGTTCATTGACTATCAATAACAAGTGCTATGTACCTAACTGCTTATATTGATTTTTCAGCTTATAAATATTTTTATTTTTTTCACTTTTATTTATCAATAATTCTAATATTTCATTTGTATATGCATTTATGTGAATATATTTTTACTTCTCACGTCAATTTGATCATGGTGAATGATCAATAATGGGTCAATGAATTTAGTTTTCTGATGTTTAATTGAGACATTTGGTTTCTATATTCACTCCGGAGACTGGTCTATAATATCCTGCTTTGTTTGTGTCTTTGCACTGCTTGGTCTTTGGGCAACACTAATTTCGTAAAATAATTTCTTGTGTTTATTCTTTTTTATTTTATAGACTATTCCTAGAAACGTTTGTGTTAGTTCTTTAAATTTCTGGTAAAATTCAAAATTTAATCCAATTGGGCCTGGGCATTTTTTTTAAAGTTCACAGCCTTTTTATAACTATTTCAATTTCATTCCTTGATATAGATACCTTGAGTTTTTTTTTTTACATGATCTTCATTTAATTTGGATCGCTCATTTGTATTTATAAATTTACCCATTTCCTTTTGATTTTCCAATTTACTGGAATATACATTTTCAAAGTATGCCCCAATGATTCTTCTAATTTGATAAGCACCTGTTGTGATGTTTCCTTTATCACCTCAAATTTTATTAACTTGGATCATTTCTCACTTTGATTAAGGGTTTGTCAATTTTCTTTACATTTTCAAAGAACCAACTCCTTCTTTCACTGATCTTTTGTATTGTGTCATTCATACATATTTCATTATTTTCTTCTAACAGTTAATTTGATTTTTAATCATAATATCCTGAAATGTGTCATTAAATTATTTATTTGAGATCTCTCTAATTTTTAATGTAGTATTTATGGTAGTATTATTATATACTACTATAGTAGTATTATATGTACTATAGTAACATTATTATATATAATGGTAATTTAATGTAGATATTCATAGTTATAGTTTTGACGTTTAAATTGTATTCCTAATCTCTCACTGATTCTGTTACAACCAAAGAATTACAGCAGAAACCATGAAAGAATGTTGCTTCTGGCTACCTCCCAGGCTCATGCTTAGCTAGCAATATTCCTATGACAGCCTCTGACTACCTGTCTGGGGATGGTACTTCCATTTTCCTTTGACTCTAGAAATATTTTAATTTCTCTCTTTATTTCTTTATTTTATTTATTATTACTATTTTATGTGTATGAGTGTAGTGCTTGCATATATGTAATTGCACCCACATTGTGCAATGCCTGCAGAGCTCAAAAGAGGGCATTGGATCTTTGGAACTGAAGTTACAGAGTTAGCCATCACATTGGTCCTGCAAGAGCAGCCAATGCTATAAAATTCTGTGCCAGCTCTCCAGCCCCTTCCTCCTTATTTCTGTGATGATACATTCTTCATTTAATAGTATGTTGCTCAATACCCATGAGTTTGTGTATTTTCCATTTCCCTTTATGATTCCTAGTTTTACTCCATTGTGATCATATGCACAATTATAGTATTTTTATTGCCATATCTATTTATATATAGTTGAAGTGCCTTTTTCCTATCCCAGCTAAGTGTTAATTTGACAATCTAGAGCCATTTGAGAAGAGAATCTAAACTGAAGGGTGATTGTCAAGGTCTGATTGGCCAGTGGGCATGACGAGGGGAGAATGTCTTTATTATTAGTGTAGGAGGGCCCCAACTACTGTCATGGTACTATCCCACGCAGGTCTTCCGTGACTGTAGAACAAAACCAGCTAAGCATGAGTCTGTGAGCCAGACAGCAAGCAGTGTTCTTCCGTGATTTCTGCTATACTTCCTTGATTGTGACTGAGTTCTGTGGTCATAGGTAATGCTGTGTTGAGTAGCTAGCCCTAATGCCTTAAATTTCTGCCCTGATTTCCTTCAATGATATACTGTGACCTGGAAGTGCATGACAAAATCTCATGTAAGTTACTTTTGGTCAGAGCACTTTTTCACATCACCAGAAAGTAAACTAGAACACTGTCATTTTTACCTTAAGTCTGTGTTTGGTTTTGCTAATGGTGTACGTTTCTTGCAGGTTAGAAATAGATGGGGTCTATTTTTAAATCCAGTCTACTTACATGTGTCTATTTTGTTATCAGCTAACTGAGGCCATATACTTTGAGGATTATTATTGAAGGGTATGTATTGATTGTGCTCATTTTGTTTGTCATAAAGTTTGGTACTTTCCACATGCTCATTTGCTTATTTATTGTTCTAGTGCTTCCTCCATGCACATGATTTGTAAATTTTGTTTTTCATACTGTCCCATTGGTCTCAAATGTTCTGTTCATATTTTCTTGTCATTTTATCTTTATTTTTGTCTGTATATTACGCTTCATCTATTTGTTTTTCAAGCCCTGGTATTCTGGGTTCCACTTGATCCCACCTACTGTTAATTTTCATTGAAGTATTTTTTATTTGTCCTTTCTTTGATTAGTACTTTTTATCTGACTTATTAAGCTCTTCATTTCCTAAATTTCAACTTGATTTTTTTCAGTGTTTCTATCTTTATTCTGAGTCAGGGGGTCTCAGTTTGTAGCCCTCCCTTACCTGGAACTCACTATATGGACCAAACATAGATATCTGCCTAGTACTTTCCAATTACTGGGATTAAGGCATGCACTACTACTCAATTCATCCAGCTATATATTGGCACGTTCTTAAGATCAAATTTGTAGTTTATTCATATCTTTGTTTATATTTTTGTACATTGTTTTTTTTAACTTTATTGATAATTTCATACATGTGTATAAGGTGTTTTGACCAAATCCATGCCCACTCCCTCCCCTCCAACATTCCCCCCTCTGAAGAGGTAACAGTAAAAATTTTTAAGGATTAGATACAAGCTCCCAAATACTTTTTGACACTTTTAGTCTTTGGAAAAGAGTATGTTGCTGACAGGCCCAAGGACGTTTTGACTTTTAGCCAAGAAACTGGCTACATTTCTTTGGGATCTTTTTACCCTAACTTCCTAGCCAATTCTTACCTCCTATTCTTATCACACCATCCTCTGAAGGGGTTACCCAAATTGCCAATAGGGAATAGGGATGCTGACACTCTGGCTTCTTCCATGGTCAATAGGGACGCAGGGTGAGGCAATTGAAGTACCCCTTCAGTGGGTCTATCTAAAAGACTCCAAAATTGCCTAATTCTTGTCTCTAAGGGGAGAAGAAAGTCTTTGAGTCATGAATGGGAGATGTGAAGGGGGAGCAAAGGTTTTGTACATTCTTAAAAATATTCTGCTGCAACTTTTGTCTGGAATTTAATCTCAGGTGGAACGTTACCTGCAGAAGCAGCAAAAAGTAATACATAGGCCTAAAATGAAAATACTATAGGACTCAATTAAGACCATTTATTCCTACAATTCTAGCAGCTTTTAGAGAATGAAAACTTAAGAATATTACAATATATACTGGTGTGTAATTATTAAATTTAAGCTCTTTCTCTTCCTTCACTGATCTCATTTTTAGGGTCTAAATAATTATATAATGTGTAATTTAATGTAGATTTATGATTTAATGCATGTTACAAGCTTACCTGTATAGGCATACTGTACCAAAGAATTAAGTGCATTTGGATCTACTCCTTCCATCCTGACCTCCTCTTGTCTTGCTTCAAGCACATCATTAGTAAACATTGCCGCAAAATAATCTGACACTGCACTGAGAACCAACCTAGGAATTGAAAACTTGCATTTACATTTGTAATTAGTCAAAAGTCTCACAGAAAATCATTGATGACTTTCATAAAATTTACAAAACTTTTCAGTCTTCTTCTTCCATAAATAGATCATAATTGGCAGGTATGTTGGCTTATGCCTTTAATCTGAACAATTGGGAGAAAACATCAGGCTCATCTCTGTGAGTTCAAGGCCAGATAGCACTAAAGAGAACTTATTAGAATAAAAAAAAGTCAACACCCTCAACATCAACTTTGTTTAAGTATACTGAATTTAGAAAGGTCAAGGTCAATTAAGTTATTGGTCATTTTAAAGAGTTTGTGTCATTTGATCTTCATCATCAATATTTTCAAAATTGACTCCTTTAGATATTGGAGGCCAATACCTCAGTTTTTCAATACTTCAAAATAAAAAAATGATTCCCCTATGTTCCACTTTATACCCTGTTTATGAATTATTCCTCATTAATACTTCTTATACCTGCTGAATATCTTATCTCTATAAGAATATTTACCGATGGGCTGGGATTCTGAGAGGTCCAGCAATGAGGAGCACATCACACAATTTTTTCTCCTTCAAATAGTTCTCCATTTTACAAAGAGTTTGATCTGCATGATTTATAGAACAGAAACGATCCTCAGATCCAGTCATATTCTTTTCTCCAGATTTTTCAGCATATAGCCTGAAATTTAAGTGACAGTCAGGATTTGAGTCATCATATCATTTTTTGCAAATTTGAATTTTCAGATGTAGCAAGTATTAGATTATACTTGTCCCCTTACACACCTTCCTCTCTTCTCCCTCTTCCCCCCTCCTACTAGGCCTTCCCTTTCCACTGACATTCCTGCTTATGCTGTTATATATGTCAGAGTTAACTTCAGATGTCAACTTAACACAACTTAGAGTTATCTTGGAAGAGGGATCTTCAACTGAAGAATTTCCACCATCATATTGTTCTGTGGTCATGTCTGCAGGCCTTTTCTTAATTGCTAATTGATGTAGGAGGGCCAGTCCAGTGTGCGTAGTATAGTCCCTAGACAGGTGGACCTAGACAGGTAGCTGAGAATCCTCTGTGTTCTCTTTTTCAGCTCCTGCATCCAGTTTCCAGCTTTGAGTTCCTGCCTTGGCTTACCTTGATGATAGACTGCAAACTGAAAGTTAAAATAAACCCTTTCCCTTCCAACTTGCTTTTAGTCTGTGCTTTTTTTACAATGGCAGAGAACCAAACTAGCACAAGATATGCTATAGAATCCACATATTGGTACCATTTTCGAAACACCAGTCATAATTAGTTATAGGCCCCCCTCGTCAACTTGCCAATGTATTCTAAAGATGGTTGTTCGAAAGTGACATCACTTTCTGTGTGATGAAATTAAATGAATGAGTTCTTTCTACAACTTCTTCACCTATAAAGAATCTTTGTGAAATTTTATCACAATATTACAATGATAACTAGAGTTCTAAGTTTTAAATTGAGTTACAGCTATCCTAAAATTGCCCCCTTACAGAGGCAATACATTTTGAACTAATTAAAACAGACAAGGTTGATGTTCAAAGAAATTATAACTTAGCCTGTACCTACACATGTAATAGAGTAATGAAATCTCACCCAGTCATGGCAAGCGGACCTTGAAACAATCCCAGGCCAAATACTGACAAATTATGTTCACATAAAGCTGTTCTGAGCAGCACAAATCTGGTTATCATTGTCTGTCATTTGCTGTTGATGTGCTTTTAAATAGGTTCAACATGTTGGAGACAGAACAATTGTAAATCACTGATGATACAACATGTTTCCTTGTTCTCTTTCCCCTGCTCATTTTTTTAAAATCTACCTCATATTCTAATTCAAGATTGCTTGCTGTCTTCCTCAGGAGCACTATATAATTATACTTGAAAGGAAAAATCACTTGGAACCGATGGCTTAAAAGCATTCAGATTGTACTTACCATAAATTTTCAAAGTTTGGCACAGTTTGTCTTAACAGTTATCCAGTTTTGGGTTATTTATTCAAAGACTCAAGAATTTTTACAAATATGTGATCAATTTATGAACACCTGTTCTTTTCAAGTAAGCATGCCAATCCCCCTGAAAGATGTGTCTTTATGCCACATCAACTAGCAGCATTGTGGCATTCTCCTTCATAGACTGGGATAAGTAACTCTTAATGAAGCTCACATCCAAAAGGAGTTTTATGTATTATTTCTTTTCTTTAAATAAAGCCTATTCTTTTTTTTCTCTCAATGAGTAATTGTTTCACCATTTTGTGAAGAGCTATTTTTCCATTCTCAGTTTTACAAAAACCAGGTCTCATTTTTTACAATTTCATCCTTGAAATTACTCAATGCATTGTGAGTACATGCACTCCATTGCTGCCTCTCATGCCCTCCCCTCCTGCTGACTCCTTTCTTTTCAACCAGACCCCATTCTACCTTCATGTGTTTGGTGTGCTTGAGCAGGGGTTTTGCTAGTGATTTAATTGACATTAATTTTGTAGTCCAAGCATTCAATGTCCAATTATTTTAGGTATAACCATGTATACCTAAAATTGTGCAGCATAGTTAAAATGGAGGAGCATATAAGATTGAAATTTGTGGCCAGCACTTTGTTGGATTTAAAAAAAATCTAGAGTAATTTGCCTAAACATCGAAATGTTGTCTTAAAATACCAACTAGCTCATGGGGGGGCAACCCACCTCTGTGGAAATCCCAATGCCAAAGGTGGGTTGCCTCCCATGAGCTGTTGGCCAGAGAGGCCCTAGAGGTCCCCCAAACAGTAAAGGCCATTACCAATAATGTTGGTTGTACATCGTAAGTGGATGGTAAAACCCTGTTGTGGAAGACACTGCATGATGTGAGCATGGGGGTGGGAGAAATCTGGAAACTCCCTGTCACTGGATGGGTGGCTTTCATGGTGCCAGAAAGCAACATTCAGATGGCTGGGAGAGAAATAGCCCCTATAATTTGTTTCGATGACAGACTCTGTGCACTGCACTACCAACATGCCAAACAAGATGTTCCAGCTTGTGCAATAGTGGCGTGTTTAGTGTATGTACAATCAGCAAATTTTTGATTGGATATAATGCCTACTTCCAGGCATGGAACACACATCTGGTACTGTAGATGAGGTCAACCCTCTGTGCAGGGGAGGTTATAGGCTCCAGTGGGAAGCCACTGCAATTGTTCTGTTAGATGGATGTAATGCACCTGTTAAAGTACCATCCAAGCATTTGTGTTTACAACCATAGATTAAGTTATTATAGCAGCCACTGTTTAGCTGTTCTTGCTTCTTGTTGTTTGTGTTTTTATAGTAGATGGAATTCCACTGAAATGCGCCAACAGCCCACGGAAAACAGATGATGCAGAGATCCAAAAGTTCAGTGCCTTTCCATGATGGGAGGAAGATTATCCCACACCTATCACCTCAGCCAAGGCTCAGGAAACCTTTTGTTGAAAAGGTTTTGGGAAAAAATGTAACACCCAGAGGAAAGGGTAGAATGTATACTGGAACAGTCTTGCAAATACAATGCTGCAAGCTATAGTCATACCTCTTTCCCATGCTTGTCATGTGGGAGTCAGTTACCCCTCCCACCCAATGAGTCGACCTTAACTGCATGTGAGGGAGGGTCTAAGGATATATAAGCCCAGGATGCCATGAGGCACCTCTCTTGCCATTTTGTGCATCTGTCAGGAAGTCACCAGATCTACATTTGAGTGTGGACTTTGCAGTACAGCCATAAATCGGGTGGGGCATGAGGCACACACTCTTTTGTAAATAAATGCCACTGGTTTTACACCTTAAGTAGTTTGTAAGATTTTACTGATGAACATACCACATACCTTTTTTCTAAGTTATAAAAAGAAATCAAGCCAGCACTGAGATAGAAGTTTCCTTCTTGCTAACTAAGTTTCTTAGTGCTGGAAACTGCTGTAGAGGCACAGACTACTGGAGAAGGAAGGGAGTCAGTGGTCTTACCCAGCCCTAAGCTCTACAACCAATCTTAAAGAGGGTGTGTATTGTATCCTTTTGAGAATCAGGAATCATTTCTGTAAAGGAAAGATAAAGAATGTAAGAGGTAGAGAATAGGTTGACCAGGTTCTAGTGGATGAACTCACAGTGAAGGACATCTGGTGACACAACCTTGACTTGATAGTCCTTAACATATATGACGGAATGCATGAAATCTGGTGGGGCACTATGGGAGTGTAGATACAGGAGGGTTGTCAAGTATGATCAAGATGTATTGTATGAAATGCACAAAAACTCAGTAAAAAAAGAAAACAAATATTTCAATATTGTTATAAATTGTTATCTTATTTTGAGATTATGATGAATCTGTTTTTATATAGCCATTTTTGTCTGTGAAAGATTTGGGGGTAAGATGATTTTTATTTCCTCCTTTGCTTTGATCACTACTTATCACAGATAAGTGTAGGCTCTAACCCCTTGTCAAAGGAGCTTCTTTTTACAACAGACAGAGACTTTGCAAAGATCCACAAGTGGCCAAAATGTAGATATAAATGACCATGGATTGCACAGCCACAATTGAAACATTAAAAACACAATGTCTATACCTAAGTCTCAGGTAACATCATGGAAAAGAAGTCAGAAAGATAGCAAGAGTCAGAGGACCAGGATGCCTTCTGTTGGATAGTATCTTTTAGATATGACAGAAAACATGTACACATGAAATATCAACAATATGGTTGCCTAATAATAGCATTAGTTGACATGGCAGCATGAATAAGAGAAATCTCACAAGGTCCTACCTGTAATGAAAAATTTGCAATCAATTGCTGATGAGAGAAAGGGAATCATTTTTATCCCTGGTTGGTTACCCAATCCCAAGGGGATAACCCCTATGCATATGTACATACAAACAACACTAAATGATACCAATAGGATATATATATATATATGTATTGTGTGTACATATAAATATATAAATATATCATATGTAAATGATAGCGAAGAAGTGGTCACAAATTCAGAAACTGAGGGGATGTGGGAGGAGTTAGAGAGAGAGGAGGATGAGAAGAAAATATAGTACTCATGTAAGAAAACTCCAAAAATTTTTAAGATTTAAATTAAAAAATATTCTAAAACCAAAAGCTCAAAAAAGAAGCTTATATTTAATAGATATGTCCTATAAAAACAATGATATTTAAAATCTTAAGAACTACAAAGGGCAAAAGTGCTAGGCCCTAGTAAGTACACCACACATGAAATTGAAAGCAGATTTATAGCTGGCTGTGGTGATGCACACCTTTATTCCCAGGACTGAGAAGGCAGAGGCAAACAGCAGAAATCTATGACATCCAAGCCAGCTTACTGGAGTTACAGAGAGACCCTCTCTCACAAAAAAAGCAAAACAACTACAAAAACCCAAAACAACAGCAACAAATAAAACATATTTATGGGGAAATGTAAGGATCTTACACAGTAAATTGAAACAAAGAACTGAAGAAACATAGTAAACGAAACCATGTAAAACTAGATGTAGTATTGTATTCTCATTTTATGACTTTTGCTTTTATTGATTTTTTTAAAGGAGAAATTAATAAGACAGCAATTTAAAATCCATTATAGTGTGAATACTTTTCCTAGAAAATTAATTACAAAACTATTAAAAATGAAAACTGTGAGCACTTTATATTATTTAATGTTATTTTAAAAATATTT